CGTTGAGAAAACTACCCTACCGAGGGTAGGGTACATTTCTCAACTTCAGTGCCTTTCCTTTTTTTTGTTTTTTTAGTCCTCATTGCATCCTGAAATGGAGGAACTCTGACAGCTGTGTTTGGCTGTCTGGCATCAAACTCGTTTCCTTCTTTGGGCAATGAATGCATTTGGCCATCCACGTCGTCCCTGTCCATTTTACAAATGGTGACCTCCTGTCCCCTCACCACGGGGAGTATCCTTTTTTCACGGAGACGTTCACTCCGACTGTTCCAGACATGTTTCATTTCTCGGAGTTACGTTATTAAAAATAAGGAGAAAAGCTGTTTCTAGCATTTTTTTCAGTTTTTTTATTTCTTGTTTCGAATATTTTAATGTGGAAATGGGGTCACACCGTTGAGTTTTCTGAGCTCAACAACCGTAGGTGGGACCAGACCCCTGGACTACTCCGGTAACCTAGATAAAAAATATTTTCATTTTTATTTTTTATTTTACATTCGGTAAAGAATTTCGATATGACCCTAAGGCAAAATTTGCTGCTGCATTAAACGCGCACCGCCAGGGGGGCGGCGTCTGGGCAACGGGGGATCGCGTTGGTGTTGCCGCAATAAAGGCGGCGCTGTGCCAGAACTTGTTGGTGGGGTGGTGGCGCGTGGGGGAGGAAGGCGCGAGGGTGCTGCGGGGGACACGTGCAGAGGGGCACTGCCATGCTCCTGCCATGGGCCAGTCCCGGCTGACAGGGGTCAGTAATCCTGGTTGACTGTGGGAGGATAGGAGAGCGATGTGGGGACAGTCGGCGGGCGGGATCCGGCTGTTATACCAGAATTATCAACCAATCAGGGGCGTGGTCCTCTGGTTTTAGATACGGAACCCAAGAGTGGGAGAGGATTTCGACCGAGCTCGGTGATGCCGATTGGAGTGCTTGGTGTATGATTGATCGACTGCGGAATGGAAGGTTGGGGAGTTTAGCATCGACATGTGGGGTGCTGTGCCTGTGTCTGGGACGACGGATCGAACTGATTACGCTCCTCCCTTGCTATTGGCGCGTTGGTGCTGCTGGATGAGATTTTTTTCGCCCGCGTTTGGAGTTGAGTAGAATTGCACGTGAGCCTATAGGTTGGTGACCCTGTTGGTGACCCTGTTTTAGTTATGTTGCCGGCGTTCTGTTCATCGCTGGAAGGACTTGGATTGTAACAATCGGCTTCACATGGTTTTGTCGTTGTTCATTTTTCTACCTAATTGCGTGTCGAGATATAGGAATCATAGTTTAGATTAGTCACTTCGAGGATCGATAATTCTTGGGGTTTTGCTGTGTGGGTAATTAGTGCTGCATGTGTAGATTTGCTGCATGGGTGATTACTGTAGTGTTGCTCCCCTGTTACGGTTGTTGGTTGTTAACATCTTGCTTTTTGTAACGCTTAATTACGAGGTATTTGAGACGTAGAGAAGGAATTTTGCGGGTATTATTGGGAACACCGACTTTGGGTGCTTCCGGTATGCACTGCGGATTGGAATTACTTAGATTAGGGTTACTTAATAATAATAGTGCTTTGCTGTTGTCAGCTATAGGTATTTAGCTCATAGACTATAGTTTTGGTGAATGATCAAGGTACTTAGGGTATAGATGCCCTTAGATTAGGGTGGATTTTGGATTCTGCTCGTGGGTAAGGTTAATGAGATAATTAGGCATTTTGGATCTCTAAGTCTAATTTGGTTGGATGAATCTTATTTAGAATAGGGGTGTTTAACTATAGTGGTTTGCTGTTGGTGTAGACTATGGTTGGAAAATTTTGTTTGGGGGGTTGACTGGGATAGGCTGTTGTGATTTCGTGGGCTGCGGCGGGGATAGGCCTGGTCGGGAGTGCCTCGCTTAGCCCGTTTGGCCGCAGCAATGATGTAAGGGACGCCGTTTCCGGTTCCCGGCTATATGATTGAAAAAAAAAAAAAAAAAAAAAAATTTTTTTTAATTTTTTTTTTTTTTTTTTTTTTGGGGGGGGGGGGTCCGCGTTCAGCCCGAACGCATCCCGAAGGGGTCCCATACGTTCGGGCGTTCGGGTTCGGGCGTTTGGCCCGTCCCGAACACTGGTTACCCTGATTATTATTATTATTGTTTTTGAATATGTTCGGCCGAAAATCCGAACATGTTCGGAAGTTCGGAAAAGCTCCGAACATGTTCGGTGTGCTACACAGCTCGTAAATAATCCATTTATTTGTGATCACAATGATGGAAAAATATGTTGCATTTTTTTTTCTTATTAATTATGAGCAATTTACAATTTAGGAAAAAATCCTTATATGTAAGCGATTAACTAGGCTACCTAAGTGGCCTAAGATCAGTTGCTCGGAAGAGCCACAGGTGGTAATGCAGCATTAATTCCTATGATCTAGGCTACCAGCCGGGCCAACCGGGCCACCTTGTTTTCCCATGCAGCCCGACCGTGCAAAGACCAGGGGTGTGGTCCCATTAGCAGTCGGATAGGAATGTGGCCGATCCAGTGTGACACTGAGTGGCAGCGGCCTGACAGGTTCATTACGAATTTCTGGGGNAAAAAAAAAAAAAAAAAAAAAAACTCCTTTTTTTTTATTGCCAAGTCGAGTAAGTGGTCTTGGGTTAGTCTGGTAGCCTAGCATATGATTTTATCTTTTAGATTTTTTTATTGTTATTTTGATATCGAATTTTGGATTTGCCTGCAGAAAAAACAGTGTTTTATTTTTTGCACAAATTAATTTGTTTTTGTCCCGTTGAGTGGGTAGTTCAACTTGAACTTGACTCGAGTGTGTAGGGTGGTATTATACCAAACTTTTGACAATTTGTTTCATGCATGCTTCATTTACACCCAACTGCACCTCTTGCACCATGTGCACGGAGTGGAGGACTCTAACTTCACAATAAAAATATGTTTCAAGTTGTGGAGTGTGGAGGCGGAGCGCTGCACTGTCCACATGTCGGATTTCACATGACACCCTATGGCATACACAACATTCCCTTGTGGTTTCAAAATATGAACTTCAGGTACAAAAGTAAGCTTGTCACATACGGCTTACATTCCATGTTACAGTTTTCTCTTTTTATGGACATTCCTACTTCAAATTTTTCATTCCAAAATCAAATTGTCATTCCTAATAGTGATTTATCCTTCCAAGATGATGTTTTACGTTCCAATGACCGACTTAATTCAGTTTGTTTTTGGATCTAATAAATTTGGAATCGGTCATGATAGAAAGTCAATCTTATTCGGAAATTTCAAAACTTTGTCCAGACTTTTGGTCCAAATAGGATGTTTGTGTAAGTTAGAAGGACATCCTCAAAAAAAAAAAAAAAAAAAAAAAAAAAAAAAGGACATCCTCTTTTTTAGATGGAAAGGTGGCAAGTTAGATGAAAAATTATAGAAATAGAATGTTTATTTTTAACTTAGAATTTCATTTAATTGGCCCGTTTCAAGGGAATTTTTCTGTTGTGCCCATACTTTTGCCTGGGTAAGTCCATAATTTGTGCATTCCAGTCGTTGGTTATAAGCGCAACCTTGCAGTACCAACCTGGGGCGACTGGTCCTGGGCATGCAAATAATTTCCACCGGCCGTTTTCCAGGTATAAATGCAAGTTGGCGCTGGGGCTGGGTATATTCCCATCTTTAAGTGGGGTACAGATGCAATTTTTCTTTAAAAAAAAAGACATGTCCACAGGAACTCTTCACAATCATTGCCTGATCTGCAGCTTCTCCATCCGTGCCCGTACATCCTGAAACAGAGGGGTGGAGATGTACCTCTCTCCTAAGCTTGGTACGATTGCAACAATGAGCTTCCCAGCCATCTCTGGCCGGTTTGCTACTTTCATGGCAGCGGCGACGGCTGCACCCGATGAGATCCCTACAAGGAGTCCTTCTTTTACTGCCAAAGTCTTGCCCATGCTTATTGCTTCATTGCTGTGCACAGTGATCACTTCGTCCACAAGTGACATGTCCAGTATCTTCGGGACAAACCCAGCTCCAATTCCCTGGATTCTGTGTGGACCTGGATTTCCTCCTGATAGCACAGGACTCTCCTGTGGCTCCACAGCATATATCTTTATGTCCGGATTCTCGTTCTTCAGGAACTTGGCCGCTCCGGTGATGGTCCCACCAGTCCCGACACCAGCGACTACGGCATCCACAGTTCCCGCAGTGTCTTTCCATATCTCGGGGCCTGTTGTCAGGAAATGGGCCACCCAATTTGCAGGGTTTTCAAATTGCTGCAGCATGTAGGCGTCAGGTATGCTGCCCACCAGCTCCTCCGCTTTTGCCACGGACCCTGGGATCCCACGCATCGGGTCTGTCAGAACGATCTCGGCACCAAAGGCTCGGAGCAGGCACCGTCGCTCCATACTCATGGATGCTGGCATTGTGAGTATCAGCCTGTAGTGTTTGGCAGCTGCTGCAAATGCCAAGGCGATTCCGGTATTACCACTTGTGGGCTCAATAAGGACAGTTTTCCCTGGCTTGATCCGGCCGTTCTGCTCTGCATCTGCAATCATGCTGCATCACAAAGCAGTACATTCCCACACAACACTTGTCATGACCATGTGAGTAAAGCCATTAGTGCTTTCAAGTTGTGATCAGCATACTTAGTGGGCTGGCAATAACCTGCAGAATGATTTATAAACCTGGGTTAGACGTCACTCCTGGCTGTTCAGCCAGGCGACTCACCCTGGGGGTCTCCCACCCAGGTCAACCCAGGCATGATAATAGTCCGGAATCTCCGCCGGCTGGGCGTTATGCACAACAAAACAGAGCCCAGATCCAGGTTTGTTTTTGTTCTTTTGTGTCACCCGTTTCCCGGGGCAGGAGAAGGAATCAATGTGCGCCTAGTAACTGGCCTCTACAACACCCTGGACTTAAAAAAAATAATAAAAATTAAAAAAAAACGGGGGGCATAAATGGGGTTGAAACTTGAAAGGGGTTTCAAAGGGGTGTGCCTCAGTTTATTTTCTTTTGGGGTAAGTATGTTCATGTCACCTTTGAGAATCGAATGGGCACAAAAACACATGTCTGCAAAGAAAACTGCGCCTAGTTCAAAAAGGAAATGGAAGTACCAATGACTGTGGGGTCAGACCGGGTGTCATATTTACAGGGGTCCGGCATGGTGTCAGAGGGAAAAAAAAAAAAAAAAAAAGCCCAACAGATACTTTTGGGCCGGCGCGAGTTATTTTTGCTTTTAGCTCTGGTCATTCGGCAAAGCGTTATCTTTGTCTGTCTAGGTTCTGGTCATTCTGTAAATGCATTGTCTTTGTCTGCCCAGGCTACGGTCCGCTACACTGCAACAATGACTCACTACAACAGTTCTCCTGGGAGGGGTCGGGCGGGGAAAGAGAGGGATGGGTCCTCTTGGAAGGACGGGCAAGGGAACGGAAAGAAACACTGGTGCCCCCCCAGTGGTTCCTCCCGGACCCCTGTCCTGACGCTGAGATGCAGAAAGAGATTGAGGATTACCAGGAGTTCAGAGGAACTAGTCCTTCAGCAGCAGTAAATCGACCTGGACCATCAGGCATTCAGGGGACACCAGTCCTTCAGCAGCAGAAATTGGCGCCTGGTACAGGGCAAAGAGGCTTTCTCCCTGCAGCTCATTATCCTGTGCAGAAGATCTTCTGAAGATAGAGTTCATCTCAGTCAATTTCCACCACAGCCTGCTCAGTGGCAGGTCTGTTTTTGGTGTTTTTCAATACCCTGCTCAGTCAATCCCCTGGAGCCCAAGGTAATCAATGCTGGCAGGGGCCCTCTAATTTTTTTTCTGTTTACATCTGCATATGGGACGCTGGACCCGTTTTCCAGCAGGTGACGCTCCCCACCAATAGATGGAGCCTCTACCCAAGTGGTAGTGGTGTCTGCTCTTATCAGCGCCACTATCACCGGCGGGGG